ATATATATATATATTGACCATTCGGTCCACTACGTAAATCTGTCAAAGAATATAAATTCGCGAATATCAAAAGAGATAGAATGCAAATGCGTATGTATCGAACCCTTGCTAACGAAGATCTCATGAGTCCTTGCTAACGAAGGTCTCAGATGCTCCATCCATTTCTGAAGCAACGTCAGGTGTGACCACTTTTACAAGTCATATCACGGATATGGCACTGCTACTTACCATTTACAGCACTTTGCAGCAATTGTGCAAACTGCCATTGCTATGATTTAATTCGTCGCGGGTCTGCTAGCTGCGAACCGTTTCTTCTACGATCGGCATCATTACCCTAGCGAGATCACCGATTTCTTCTCATTTGAATGAATTGCTTCACACCTGACAAACGAAACCAGCTCCCTGCACTGAACGGGCGATGACATAGTCGCCGTGCTGGTGTAGCTGGCACCTCATTCTTCAATGGACAACCTACCAATAGATGAAGCATAATCAGAAGTTTTGGAATCATTTTGTAAATACCGAAGAAATCTCGGTCAGAGCCTTCCTTGCAATGAACTCTCGAACAATATTAACATAACAGTACGAGTGTCAGTTGCGCATTGCACTTGAGTAAGAGTGAAATTTCATGCTACCGAGTTCGCATTGTAAATATCATTTACAATATTTATTTAACTGTGACTAATTTAAACGAAATATTCCAAGAAAGGGTTCTTTCAAGATCAGAACATTCACAAGACCACGAGAATCGACAAAATTACCAAACATTGTTTTTAATTCATTGGCATTACTGTCCTGCCAACGAATTTTTTTTGAGAAAGAGAGTTTGTTATATGAAATTTTAATCTGCATATTATTTAAAGTACGATTGTTGCTGGGCAGTTTCGCAACCTTACTCACTTCAAATTTTTTTCTTTGAGGAAGGGCAAAAAATTTTACTTTCGCTGTACTAAGGATGACAAAAGTGAGTAATAGAAAGTCTTTTTTTTTTGTTCTCAATTGTTTGTTAAATCTATTAACGCTTTCAACAGTTTGAACGCAATGCATTGCTTAAAGAGCTTCAAAAAACAAATAGGAAATTATCTTCTGCAATTTGTTACAATGCGAAAACTTTATACAATTCTTTGTTTTGATAGAGATGCTACAGTTGTCTACCGGGAAAAGCGATACAGTAGTTTTCTGTGAAAATATTTCTTAAAGTTCAGCAGCTATAACTTCAGAAAGCTTTGGACCCATTTAAATTTAAATTTGGTCAGTTGTCTTTTCGGAACTGCCAGGGATTGTGAAATTTTGTTCTTCGGTTTGCTGTCTTTTAGTAACGATTTTGCAGACTTGCTGACACTGATTTTGGGTTTTCTGCGGTACAGTCCATAGGCAGTGACAGATGTTTAGATCGCGTACGCAGTGTTCAGGCATTATACGTAGACAAGCACTGAGTAGATTTGCTGAGGCTCAGCTGCAAAGCAGATAATACATTCCGTCATGCTTTTTTGCTTCTCTTGTTATACGCACCACCTGGTTCATAACTGGGCGATTCTGTTTGTTGCAAAGCAGGCGATTGTTGGTAGCTTTCGGTTTCCAAACTGTGTCCGTATGACGATCTGTTAATGCCTGTTGTGCGCGGCGGGCAAGAGCAGTACTGCGCATCTTCACCGGGTGGGCCTGGACGGCCTGCCGCACCCGGTGATCCACTCTGCCCTGGAACTCCTGGCGTACCAGGTGAACCCTGAGGGCCTGCTTCACCTAAATTATTGTCTTTAAAAACTGTATGCATGGCATACCTCGTTTTTTTAGTAAAAAAAGCCTTTTTTCTGAGAACGAGTCAAAAGCAAACCATCTTGTCCCCTTTGTCCAGGCGCTCCAGGATATCCTTCAGGTCCTTTTGGTCCTACTGGACCCAGTTCGCCTTTTTTCCCCGGCAAACCCTTTTGTCCACGTGTTCCACTCATACCAGGGGGTCCTGGTTCGCCTGGTTTTCCAGGAACGCCAGTTTCGCCAGTTGCTCCAGGAATACCTGCGAAGTAATTGGAACTATATTGCTGCAAATCAGGTTATGGTTGATGGAATTTCTGAAAAATCATTTTTATTGCATTCATTCGCCTTTTTACAAATGCGAATCACTATGCGTTTCTACATTACTGAAATGCAGCCCAGGTGATGATGTACTAAGTTTTTGCGTGATTTTATTCTACAGACAGGTCGCCTGAACTTACTGGGATGTGATGCCAATTTGAACATTTGAAGGGCATGTACGCAGGGCCTATCTTACGTTTAGTGGCCCGAACATAATAAATATCCTCAGAAGTATACTGCTTCCTACTCATTCTGGTTACCAAATTAATTAAGTATTGACCAATAGTTCCCGAATTAAATATTGACTTGCGTGCACGCAAAAGCTGGGTATGCCTTAAAACTGGATTTAAGATATATAAGTCGTACACCGGCATGTAATGTCCTTGTGAAGTGTCAATTTTCGGCAAAATCGTTTTCCGTTACAAACATATTTGACATGTCTGAATACGCAGCATAGAGAACGATAAAGCTCATTTTATGTCTACATGTCACGTATGGAAGACAAATGTTTTCGTCGAGTTAAAGCGTTCTAACTAACTTAATCCCCGGGCTAGCATTTTGCCGACGATCCCTCAATCTCAACTTTGATGTGCTCGCACACATGACAAAGGCATGATTTATTAAACTTGAATTGAAAATCCTTATCTCACACAAGGGCATAAAACCATTGTAAAGTTTCAACTCCCTATCTTGTCCGGTTTTTGAAGTTTTTTCTGCCAGAAAAATTGCATGAATTCTTTTAGGCATCCGTGCGTGACATCCAGACGTACGTGCATGATGATTACAAACATAAAGCGTCACAAATGGGACGGGAATGTGCCCCAAAAATTTGAGCTACCAGCTTTTCTAGTTGCTGAACTGAAAGTGGGTTACAAAAGTGCACACACACACACACACACACACACACACACAAACACAACCCGTTCGAAAATGTGCGTTTTTGCATTTGCATAATGTGCATAAGACATAACCCAGGTTGGAACGCACCAGGCTTACCGACGCGATTATACGTTTTTGCACTAAACTCGCGGATTGCTAACAACAGGAATGATCCCTGTGCTGTAGTCTAACCCTTGAGCTCATATTGGCTGTGTTCTGGCCTCTTCCGGCATGTAGCAGAAAGGGCGTCGGTTGAAATGAAGGCGTTGCATTATGGGATATTGAGGACCTCCAGGTACATAATTATCAGCTTTCTGCATAAAGCCCGTTCGTTTTTCTGATAAATGCTTGCTCTTCGAAAAAATGCAAATTCCCAGTTGAGTGAGAAATGGAAATTTTGCTAGAGCGGTCGTTCGTCAAAAAATCCAAATATGTAAATAAGTTGGAGGCGGTCGTTCGCTACAAAATGCACCTGTTTCTGAGTTTACGGCAAAGTTTAGTATTTCTCACAACCACTTGCAGGGGACTTCACCTCCAAACAGAATTAAGACCATACATGAAAATAGAATATCCCAGCAAAGTTTCAGCCTCGCATTTTATCCGGTAAGTGAAATGGCCACTTCGCTACAAATATCTTTGAGCTGCCCTAAGTAGTGGCGCAAGTGAAAATCGGCACTCATTTTAGGTATACGATTTCCCATACGGACGATAAACATGCTAACAAAATTTCAGTCACTGTTTTCCGGCAACTTTCCGAGTTAGCACAGTACCAATTTGCAAACTTCGAGGTGGTCGTACGCGCTGCACAAATGGTGTGACAACTGAATTTGAAACCATTAGCTCACGTGGACAGAGAATATTCCTCCAAAGTTCCAGCTTTGTACCTTGCCTAGTTCGCGAAATCGTTTCCGGCCAAAGAAATTTGCACATTTTTTTCAGGGTCCGTACGCGAGGTCTAGGTGCGTATGAACGAAAATTTTAAAACTGAGGATGACACACGTGGTAAGAACATATACCCAAAATTTCAGCCTCTTTCCTAGTTGCTGAGATGAAATTGAGTAACAAAGTTCACTCGCTTTGAAACACAAGCACACATAGACGACCTCTCGAAAACGTGTGTTTTTACTCGCTGTAGCAGCGCTATAGCGCCGCGCAGCAAAGGAAAGGTATTGATTCCGTGTGTGTGTGTGTATGTGAGTCCGAATTTTACTATCCACTCGCAACTCAGCAACCAGAGAAATAAAGAAGTTGAAATTTTACTAAAATATTCTCTGCCTACGTACAATCGGAAGATTTTAGATTCAAATTCTACGTGCACTCACATTCTGCATGCAGACACGATAAACTCCGTTTACAAAATCGTTGGAATCCCCTTGTCCTGGAAATCAGACATGCTAGAAAACTCAACAGTGCAAGAGCAATTGACTTCAACGTAAAAGAATGGACCCAAAAGGCCACTCGCAGCCTGCATGCTCATACGCACCCGTGATGCATTAAACATTCTTACAATTAACTATCGTACTGATACGTAAAACCGTAACTCTAATATAAGCAGCTATTTGTTCATATCTGTGCACGAAGTAGCAGCGGTAGTGGTCTGCAGGACTCCTTTGCTCGACGAAAAGCGGTGTTTGTGCGCGCTTTCAAGAATAAGACAGATTTAATGTATTAAAAACCGTTCAAACTTGACGTGCATAGCCTTGATTGGTGCGACTACAGTAACATAGGATGCAAAAATGATTTCGGGCCGGAAGCTAACCTTGAAGTTTTTTGAAAAATTGCATTTTGCATTGGTACAGGAACATTTTGTTTTATTGTGGTGAATGTAGGCACAAAATTAAGATCACTGGCGACGCGCACCGGAGGGGCCCGTGCGATTATGCGTTTCGCAGTATTTCATGCTGTAATGAGATCGCTTGGAAACCAGTACTTAGAACTGCGTGAAATATTGGTCCTTGAATTTTGGGAAGCTAATTGTCTTCGTTGTACTTGGGCAGAGAAGGTTCCCTAAAAATTTCAGCCTTCCAGCTTTCCTGGTTTCGGAGTTAGTCATTTTCCCGCCAAAAATTTTCACGGGGCCGTGCTTGAGAACCATGCATAACCGGGGGCTGAATTTGATAAATTTAGGTTGGACATGGGCTGTGACGATCCCCTTAAAATTTCAGTCTCCCAGCTTTCCTGGACCCCAAGTTACCGATTTCCCCGCTAGGAACCCTTACGGGGCCGTACGCGGGAACCGCACATACCTCGAGGCTGGATTTGAAACCTTTGAGTTCTATCTACACGGGGAACATAACCTCCAAATTTTCAGCTTTCTTGCTTTTCTGGTTCTCGAGTTAGCGATTTTCTGCCAAAAATTTCACGCGCTCATACACGGGGCCTATATGTGCGTGACGATTGGTACCGCGGTCCTGGGGTGGCATTTGTGCCGGTGAGCCCACTCGCAAAATTTTGGCGCTGGAGCTTGCTTGAGTGCCGAGTTGGAATATTCGGACAGACACACACACACATACACACACATACACATACATACATACACACATACACACACACCGGGATCGTCGCAATATGCGTTTTCGCATTTGCATATATGCAAAAACGCACAAAAAACCACAATATTGTCCCTTTACTTCTTTGCCTTTCGCTCTCTGCGGCAGACAGCAAGCACCAGTTTTTTTGCGTTTTGTACTGTAATAGTTGCACAAAACGCACGTTATCGAAACCCCCTCTGCGTGTATGTTGTTTCCAGTGCATTTTATCCGGTGTTTTGAATTCGGGAACCACGGAAGCTAGGAAGCTGAAATTTTAGTAAAATGTTTTCCTCCCACGTGCGACTCGCAAGCATAAATTTATCCTTCACTTGCACTCCGATACAACGTGCGGCCCCTTGAAAGTTTTGGCGAGGAAAATTACTATTTTCGGAAACACGAAAACGAGGTAGCTAAAATTTTAGATTAATGTTCTCTGCGCGTGTGCGATACCGCAAATTTAAATTCAGTTTTCCCGTTCGTCTAGGCACCACATACGGCCCTGTGAAAGATTTGCGGAGAAAAATGATTGGGAGCGGAAAGAGCTGGGAGACTGAAAAATTCAGGAAGATTTTTTCTGCTTATGCAGAGGCCTAACGAACTCAAACTTAGCCCACAAGTACAACTCAGGCTGGAACGCACCAGGCTCTCCGGTGCGATCATGCCTTTTAACACTAAACTCGCTGGTCGCTATTATCAGAAATGATCCCTACGCTGTAGCCTAACACTTGGGTCATATTGGCGTGCTTTGTTCCTTTCCGGCATGCAGGAAGAAGGGTGTCAGTTGGGATGAAGGTGGTGCATTGTAGAGCCGCACGGACATCCAGGTGCATGATTACCGGTTTTTTGCATGAAGTCTGGTCGTTTTTTTGGTGAATGCTCGCTTTGTGAAAAAATAACAAATGCAAATGTTTTGAAAAAATGCATATTTCCAGTTCATGAACCCAGGCTGGAACGCACCAGGCGAGCCGGTGCGATCATGCGTTTTTGCATCAAACTTTGA